GCACTGTATAAAAAAAAAAAAAAAAAAAAAAAAACAGAAAAGGCGAGAAAGGAGAGAAAGAATGAGATATCGGACGTGAACGAACAAATGAGAGAAAAAACCGAGAAAGAATGAGCGACAAATACAGAATGACTGAAGTGAGAGAAAGAGAGAGAAGCAAGAGCAGAAAAGTGTAACGGAACGAGACTGCGAGTGATAAGAGAGATAAAAAAAAAACGGAAACAACGGAGGATTCTCTCTCCTAACGTCTTAAAAATCCATAACACCTTATTTATATATAAATAACTTAGTTGCTACCGAAAAAAAAAAACAAGTAAGTCTAATCCATATTGCGTGTGTCCCGCGTTTACATTGACCGCTCGAGTTATCCGGCGAAATATCTCTTGACGCACCGGAACAGATAAAAGACGAGGAAAAAAAATCAAAAAAAAAAAAAGAAAACAAATACCCCGCGCGTGAGAAAAAGGACATTTTTTCGGTAGATCCTGTAACGCCATCGAACGGCGAGAAAGCGCGCAGAGCGAGAAAGTCGTCAAGGATATTTCCCCGGAGGCGGTGCCCGTATTTAAGATCCATGTACAAAGTCTTCTGCCGTAAGGTTCTTGTGTTGTAAAGTTCACATAATCATAGTGTCTAGTATCGTACCAGCTACAGCCCGTTAAGACGATGCTAAACGTAGAGAAAACGAAAATTTAACCACCGATAGAGGGATCCGTATTTGCCATCGCCGCTACCGACGGGAGAGAAGAGAGGGAACAAGTACGAAGAGAGAAAGAAAAGAAGGGAGAGGGGAGAGGGTTTCGAGCACGTAGGTATACACACGCGGATAGCATTTTTCACGATCGAGAATCACCGGGAAAGAGATCACTGTTTACGATCGCAGCAACAACTTCGCCAACGTCAGATAGTACAAATTTTCGTGGACTGAAGGTGTAATAAACGAGTCTGATCAGGTTTCGAACTGGTTTCGCGCGAATCAAAAGGCATATTATTTATTATCGGCACGATATCACGCGCACAAATTTTTCACTGTAGATTGATACAAATTGAACATGTAACAGCGAACGATTCAATTCGTTAAAACACAAATTTATTGCGTTAATTTCCAGAGTATATATATATATATATATATACATACAACAATAGACGCAACATTCGAAATGGCGATTCTCGATCGGGGGAAAAAAAAAACAAACACCGAGAATCGAGAACAAAACGACGTAGGGATAAAATGTGTGCAAAAGGGAAACAGAGATGGAGGGAGGGAAAGAGGGAGGAAGCGGAGATTGGAAGTGAGAGAAATGGTGGGTGTGAGATATTGTTGTCGCCACACACTGCGAGTCAACGGCGATGACAACTAGCGACGTCGACTTTCGCGAACCGGACTTATACAATCTAGTATCAAGGCAAGAAGTGTATTCATTGTAATTCAGCATTATTACCTATAAATAAATAGTTGTTATTGTAAATCTCTTTTTTTCATTCAGAGTCATCATGAAATCCTCCTCTTCCTTTTTTTAACACCTTGGAAAAAAACAAAATGTCGAGTCTTTTTCAGAATGCCAAAATTGTGCCAGCGACGCATCAGATTTGGAAAACACCTGGTCTTGTGGAAGACGAAAAGAACAGCGCGACGCGCAAACGATCCCTCTCGCTCATGAGAACGCGAATACGATTGCATTTTATGTCCTCGCCGTTGGAGGAGCGAGAGAGAACTAAATAAAGACGCCAAAGGGTCTACGATATATTTCTTATCAATTTGCAGGTTTCGTAACGACTTGAGGCACGCGACGACAGCCCATTGGTCGAAGCAGGCTCCACCCTTTCGTGCGCGACGGGGGCGAAGAATACTTTTATTAGTTAAATATACCGATAATACGCCACACCAGGCTCACAGTGTAAGAGACTCGAAAGGCTTCTTAATTGAATCAGTCGCGGCAAAACCGCCGCGCTCTAAACATCTTAATTGCTTTCGCCGACATTAATTAATATAGATAGAATTTCATTGTTGACATTAAACTGGTGCATTGCCGCTAGAATTAAAGTAAATTTTTTTTTTTTGGAAGTTAAACCTCTTGAAGCTAATTACACATAACAATATCCGATTAATATCTTGTTAATAAATATTTTTATTCGAGTATAAATTAATGAATTCTTGAAATAAATAATTCGTTTGCGGACGCACATGAACTAATTAATCATTCACAGAGAATGTGCAATATTTTGAAGAGAAATATTTATTTTTTTGTAACTTTTTAATTCTAGACGCGCCTTTTTTTTCTTGTTAAAGCGACGATGTTGATCACAGCGTGTCGTAGTGTTCACGTATAAGGAAGCTAAGTTGGAGAACCGCGTTTGATGCAAATGAAGGGCTTGACTCTTGTCGCCAAGGATTGACGAGTCCCCCCGCATTCAATCTTTCTCTCTCTCTCTCTCTCTATCTGTGGCCGCCCTTCAACGACCCGAAATCATAAAGATAACCAAATTGCTCCGTCCCGGTACTTTTATTCCGAGGACATATTGCCCGACAATCATTCTGGCATTTGCATAATTATCGAATAAAACGGTATTGCGCGCGTAGCGCGAGCCCTCGAGGGTATGTCTAATGCCCTCTTTTGCCGCGACTATAACTAATTTCGAGTTTTCAAACTTTTTTTTTCCACGACTACTTGCGAGGGGTCACATCTTTCCTTCGCCCTCCGCGTGCTCTCTTCTTCTCGCGTCTCTTTCGTGTTTAGCGTCTTTATCTGCGAGACAATGATCTCTGCCCGTGTTACTTCTTCACCGAAAACGCGTTTCGCCTTCTCGTTGCAAGCAAATGGCTTGATTTGTCTGGCGGAAACACAACGGGATGTACTAATTATATAGCCGCTAATGAGCAACGTTTTCTCTCGATAGCGAAATTCGTGCGCACAAAGTTAATCGTCATTAAACAATTATTTTGTTAAAATCAAATTCAAAAAATGATAAATTTTTTTCAATCGAGTTACGCGTCGTGTTCGTTACATACTCAACACTTGGTCTCTCGTAATATCCGCGAGAAAAAATACAGATCTCCCGCGGGATTCACTTCCGTTTTTATCGTTCTTATTTTCCGGCCTGCCCTTTTGTCAAGATGTCACGGCGGCTAATGAGGGAGAGTTAAGCGGAACAAAACAAGGTATTTTTGTCAGCAGCGCGAGCAAGCGAGCGAACAAACGGGCGAGAGAGTGCTGCTGCGCTAGGGGACCCTCGCAACATCCTCGAATTATGCTAAACGCGCTCTTTACGCTCCGAACCTTTGCCGCGTCCGTCCCGAAGAGATGTTCGCCAACCAATAGGGACATCGGGACGAAACCGAAGCAGAAATTTGCGGGAGACAAAAAACAAGAGCACGGCGAAGTTTGGAATATTTTTTAGAGATTTGTAACATGTAAAAATAATTAGTTTTATCATCACGAAAAACAATCCTACAATTCACTTTGAAATCACATCGATATCCGAACAATTTGCTGCCGCGTGTCAAATCGAATAATGTGTCACATCGACTATACGGATTTGTATTTTTTATTCTGTATATATATACATTTTATATATTATATTTGTAGTATTTTAGTATTTTATTCTGAATATATACATTTTATATATTCAGAATAAAAAACTAATACAAATCGGCTCGGGCTGTCCGAGAGGAGGAGAGCGTTTTGCACATACCCATATCGCGAGAACGAGAATTTTCAAGAATAACAGTTTGACAGGCAGATCGGGGATATGCGAGGTACACACAATGGCGGGGCAGCGCATACGTGGCAAAACACACACTTTGTAACGTCAAGCTGTGAAGGGCTGCAGAATAGCCGGCGTTGTTACCCCGGGTTGTGGTGCGTTGCGCGGCGCACAAGGAGCCGGGGCTTCTTTCGCCCGATAACCTTAAGTGCCGTATCTAAGTGGGAAACGAGCAAAAAATCTCAAAGGAGTTAATTTACGCTTCCGCGAAGAGACTAAATGCAAAAACGGGGCGGCAGCGGCGGCGGCGGCGGCGGCGGCGGCAGCGGCAGAACGGCGATGAGCGTGTGAGTGTAAAAGAGCGCGCGTAACGGGGCGCGAGAGATGCGGTATAGGGAGTTCGATTCCCTCTTGCGCGCACGGGCATGAAACCAGTAATCAGAGTGTCGGGATGGACGAGATGAATCGTCCTGAGATTCGCGCGTCACGACGCGCAAGGATGAACCCCCGGCGCTGAACTACGAGGAGACAGAGTTGACTTCGGGCGGTGTCGAAGCGACCAAAGATAAATTCTTCGGTAATTCGATACTCCGGAGCATCCTCTATGACTTCACGTCTCGGGCTTGTTTTCTCGCGCGCACACACACACACACACACGCACACGTACACACAACTACTCTGGATCGAGCTTAGGCGGATTAATAGAACACATCTTTGCGGTGTAAGATCGAGCTTTTCCTCGGGGCAATAAGAGGAACAGAACGCCGAAGGTCGTTTATATATCAACCGGCTGCTTGTTTATCTACCAAACCGACTTCCGCAACAAGCGGAGAGACGTTTTTCGGTTTCCGGCATTTTGAAGAAAGTCGTTGTCGAGAACAAGGACGAAGACGCGTTTGATCAGGCACGTGAAAATCATCTTTGGGGGGACTCAATCGATGGATCCGATCGACCGGACGTATAATTACACACTTGCGTATCTTGAGAGGGCGAGAGAGAGAAAACCGGCGAAGAGAGAGAGAGAGAGAGAGAGAGAGAAAAAAAGAGGTGACGAGCACACGGACAACGTTCATGCTCAACACTTCCCGACACGCCGCAGACACGAGAAATTCCGTAGTTTGATTTACAGCTGGCCGGATCCCGCCGTCGTCCATCGGCGGAGTCCGTTTTGATTGCGCTTCCCTCTAATGGAGGGTAAACGCTAGGACGTTCATGAATTTGTATTAGAGAATTGGTTCCGAGAGCCGATTCTGGAGCCCCGAGAACGATCCTCTTATGT